ATTAAGCCGTCATTCCCCGCTGAGCCAGGTGGGAAGAAAGGCTGAGCCGATCCAATTTTCAATTATCCGTTTCGAATTGATTCACACGCCGTACTTCACGTGAGTTCGATTCGGCTTATGTCGTGTTATGTGAAGTACGGCTTCTAAACCGGGACTGCTACAAACCCCCACCCGAATTTTCCTGGAGTCTGCCCCGACCACTCATTAAAGTGATGCAACAGTTTCTTATGCAGTTATGAAGCTGATAAAGTTGAAGAAGGTAAAGGCGTCATTTGTTAACAGTTTTGCTTCCCGGCAATTAACGAAAATAACGAAGCCCCGCCGGTGTAGCGGGCCAGTCTAAAGCTTACCTAGATGAACGACTCAATTTTCTCGGAGCTTCCCAGACATTAAAGACAGCATACAACGAAAGAGAGTCCTCATCTGGAATATCCCTTGCTTTTGGAGTGCTCATGTCGAATAACCGACAAAAGATCATGAAATCATATACGACAAAGAACAACAAAATAAATTCATGAAATTCACAAGTGCGCGCTCTTTTTCAAGCGGAAGAAAAACACCAATGCTTCATGGGATATCAGGCCTGGAGGGATATGTCATTTACACCTCCCTCCCCTCCCCTGAGTAATAGTTTGAAGCCTTTTGCAGAATCAAAAATAGTATTCGATTATTTAAACCTCTTCTTCAATGGTAAATCTATTCTAGAGTAATCCACACTTTAAAGTTATAAATTAACAAGATGGGATAAGTTTAACAAACAGAAAGCTGAAAAATCTCCCATCCAAAGAAATGTTCTCCCACCCTAGACGGGTTCCAAATTTCTAATCGTGAGGTATTATGGGATATTTTATAAAGGGATTATAAGTAAACAGAGCCTAAGGGAAAATAGGAGGCGTTAACACGGCTGCTTTGAGCGTCAATCATTGCGCGATTTCTGCAAAGTTTGAGGTTTTTATTACCGTTTCGACCCTTCAGTTACATCATGCCAGTGAAGATTAAGGTGGTTTATTGGTAAGTAGTAATTCCTGTTTCGAATGAAATGCCCCCAACTTGCATTCGGGCACCCTGCACTGAATTTGAACTTTCGCTGACTGTACCAGTCTGATCATGACACAGGCGAAAACTTATCTGACCTTTTTCTCTTCCTAAACGCATGGCTATTCGTCAATGAGGATCTATGCTAACAACTTTTTGTTCTTTAATAGTGGTGGATGAGGGTACAAACCCAAGGTAAGCTTTATATTTTTTTTTTATTTAGTTAAGTAAAACTAAAATGTTTTTGCGCGCGAGCGATATGTGCTCTCACATGTCGATTCTGTGGCTTTAAATCCGAGCTAGCCTCCCCAGCGAAGCAGAGATAAGGTAGCCCTGGATCCGTTTCTACTTTAAAAATTAAACCCTGCCTCTTAAAACAAACAATTTTATTTCGACCGCTTGCTAAAGGATTCGTGCAGCTCACCCACGCGGAAAGGGTGTGTGGATGGTGGGTTTTACATAATTTATGCAATTTATTTTTGGAGCTTAGTATTATGCAGCAATATTTTTGTGCACGGCTGTTTGTTTTCATGAAAGTTTCGTTTATGCTTCGGCTGTTTCAGAGCACAGGTTCAGAGCATTAGGATTTCTACAGTTTTTTCTCCGAGCCACAGCCTTGCTCAACCATAGTTGGTGGGAAAGCAGCCCTTAAATGTATAGCCTGAGTCAGTTTTTCTTACTCCAGGCAAAAGCATAAAGTAAAAACTTCGAGTATATTGTGTTAAGCCATATATTGTAAGGATGGGACTTGATGCCACCATTACAGGGTTGTCACTAATATTTGGTCAGTGTAAAACGCAGACTGCAGACTGAGAGTAAAATGCAGGCTGGCTGGGTGCAAAATGCAGAATGAGGACTGCAGACTGAGGGGTAAAATGCAGACTGAGCAGAAACTGTAGTCATGGAAGGGTTTGAGGGCAAAAAAATTCCGCAAATACTACATTTGCTAGTGCATGAACTGTAGATGATAATGTTTAGGTAGGGAAAGAAGAGACCTTACAGTAGTTGCCGGGCTTTTGTATTAACGTTAGAACCTGGAAAAAGGCAACCCTTTGGAGTGTGAATTGAATAGATGTGAAGTTTTGAATACATGTGACCATGAATTTGTACAACACTACAATGTTTACGCTTAAATAAAAGTTGCTGTCCCAAATATAGAAGGAATAATGGCGATTAAAAAAGGGAGTAAATCATTCCAACAACAAAGAAAAATGTTTTACAGGAAATTTGGATGACCTTCTATGAAAGTATTGCCAATCAAGGTATGCAGCCTTTAGCTGTTCGGATGTTCATTGAAACTTCTGGCAAATGTGCAATTTACTTCGACTAGGAAGCAAAGTGTGTAACTGATACCAGCTAGCTACTGGAGAAGAAAAAGCACAAATGTTTAAAAAGTCGGCAGTCCTCATTCTGCATTTTGCACCCAACCTACGTTTTACTCTCAGTCTGCATTTTACCCCTAGCCTGCAGTCCGCAGTCCCCAGTCTACGGTTTACACTGGCCTTACTAAGATTTTAAGTTGCCAGGTACATACAGCAAGTAGGCGGGGAATGAAACAGCTGGGGGTTTATTTTGGTTCTATTTTCTTTTATTTACCTTTGAAAGTTGCCAGGGACCCTGTTCATAGTAGACGGGGGAAATCCCCAGCCCCTGCCTCTTAATGATGGCCCTGCCATTATCAAGGAAGTTTAAACTATTGGCATCTTTATCAACAAATTAACCCCTTACCTGCCAGAGCCAAATACACCCAGCAACCGGCAGCCATTTCTCAATGACCAGAATTTATTCATTCGAGACAACTTGAATGTCCGGGCTGTTGGTAATTTTATTTGTCTGAGGACGTCCTCAGTCGCTGAGTGACCTCACACAGGACGTATATATACGTCCTTGGTAGGCAAAGTGGTTAATAAAGAGAAGGGCCTATCTGCACAAGTGAAAAAGCTGTTTATTTAGACAGATTTTCTGTCATCACCAGTGCTTAACAAAAATGCAGGTGGTTTGTCACAATTTTACAAATTTTGTCCTTAACGGGATAATCTTCAAAGGAGCCACAGACAAAAATTGTCCCGGTTAAAAACTGGACAAAAGCAACAAAGTAAATGAAAACATGTGTTTCTTATTGTCAATCGTTTGTTGTAAAGCCATTATTCTTGCCATTAAGTGATAACAGATGCGACGGCCTGTTAAGATTAAATAGTTTCCAGTGCGTATAATTTTTTTCAAAACAAAAACTGTTACCATACAATTTTTGGTTGAGATGTTTCAAAGACAATTCCATTTTTGTCTGCTAGAGCAGATAGGCCCAAAAGTACTGTGGCATAGAAGGGTCACACATGCAAATTAAAAATTTTACCTGCAAATTAAAAATTGAACATGCAAACTAAAAATATTACCTGCAAATTAAATTTAGTACGTGCAAACTAAAAATTGTGCTGCAAATTGAAAATAGAAAACATATCGATGCAAATTAAAAATGAAAAGTCCTGCGCGCGCAGTATGAGTGATGAGGATCTGGTCCGAGCCGTGTGACCTGGCCTTACAGCCGTCGGCCCATTCATGTTTCATGTTTGTAATATTTTTACTTTGCATGTACAATTTGGAATTTGCATGTCCTATTTTTAATTTGCAGCAACATTTTTAATTTGCAGGTAAAATTTTTAGTTTTCAGCAACATTTTTAATTTGCATGTGTGACCCTTCTGGGCCACCATACAAAAGCAGTAAAATGTAGCTATTAGGGTTTTACTGACAGGTAGAAAATATTCTTTTCTGTCCAGATTTGCCTCAAAGTCATGAACTTAAACTCGACAATTCCTCCAAAATGCTGTCAATTAAAATGTAAATAATGCTCTTACTAAGTGACATCTTTTATTTACAAAATTTACTTTAATTTTATCTAACTGATTTGATAAACACTAAAACAGCTATCCCCCAATAGGGAGGTGAATAGTGCTATGTGGATACATACCGCGACGCTTCACATCTCGGTATATATTTCCACCACTATTCACCTTGCCTTCAGGGGATAGTTGTCTACTATCCTGCAAGAAGGTTTATCTCTAACTTGATCATTTTATCCCTTGAAGTTTCTGGCGATCGAAAAGAAGATCCTCGAAAACTTTGATGACGATGAGGTTGAAGTGGTATGTAGTTGCAGTGATAAAATATATTTTTTATCTTGACGAAAGATTTTTACCCTGAAACTCACAAAACAGTGATCATCAGAAATATTTATGGAATGTTACTGTGTAGAGAGGAAATAGCCAATAAGGCGTGAGAAAACTAAACCACTAACAGCGAAGGTGATTAATTGGTTTGTTGTTTGGAGGTTTTCTTGCATGTCATAAACTTTATTGTGATTGATCACTACACAATCAATATTCCTGGAATTTTTCTGTTGTTTAGTGCAACTACTATAACTAGGTCAACCCAGACATAATTGACCACTTATAAGATTACAGAAAACAAACAATACGTTCAGAGAAAGTCATTTGAGCCAATACAGTTTCAAGGGTTGCCATTAGTGATGAGGTAAACATAGGCCTATTTTATAATGTGCTTGAACTATTTTGAATGCTCATGGGTAACTTTACTAAGAGTGTGCCCTTTCCACCCTAAATTTAGACTGGTTTATTGTTTGAAATTGGGTGTTACTGAACATCAAGATGCTGAGAGTAGGATAACAGTGGCTCTAAATGCAAAAGTTGTGCACCAATGAGTGTATCGTATATTGCTCTTGATTCAGTTTTCTTTGTTTAGCCTTCAGACATTCAGATTAACCCAAATTGTTATATTAAAATGAACATCAACTCACCAAACATTGCTCCGAAGGGAGGACCAGCGTGCAAAGAAAGTCGTTAAAACTAATCGTGTCGCCGTCTTTTCGAAAACTCTTTACCTTCTACGCCAACAGAAATAACCTCCGAGATTTCCTTTAATCTCGCAAGAAGTTTAATGTGATTGTGCTGACCGTTTTATTTTTAGTTGAAAAAATTAAAAGATAAAAGCTATTTTTCAAGACAGTGAGTCTGTATATGGAACAAGTTTAACTTGTGCATTTTTCCCTTAGAGTTGACACCTTTTTTTTTATTTTTGGGAGTTTCAAAAGATGTCTGTTTTAGTTTAATGAACTTCATTTAATTCTGATTTATTAATTTTTTCAGGAAGGGTATGGAACACCAGAAACTACTGGCTGGTTGGAAGTGTCAGTAAATGGGAAACTCATTCATTCAAAAAAGGTTGGTGTCGTGTGGAATCTCTTCCCCCGCTGGCTGACTAGTTATCACACTTTGTCCTTAGAATTCAGAGCCATTTTGTTTCTGCTTACTTAAACCACAGTTTTACAGTATGATATAGTTGATTTCTGATAACTTGAAGCTTGCATTGAATTGAAGCAGAATTGATTTCTCCTTGTTTTTCTTTCTAGATTTACAGTAATTTTGCCATCAGTAACTCAAAACCTTGCTTACTTTAAGTTATAGTACACCTTTTGCTGTTCATTACGAGAAAATACCCAATCATTTGCGTGAAACGGCGACCAATAGTGCGAAGATACATTCATTAGCACGAAAATACAAACATTTGCACATAAATCAGATTCAATTTATTACGATTTTTGCATTTTAATCAACATTCAGTAACACTTTTGGGCATTCATATGCATCATTGAGCATACAAAAGAGAAAAATATACTTTCATTAACGCCAACATCAAAGTCATTAACACCATCTTGAAAGTCAATAGGGACAACTGACATACATTAAAGTGCAAACACTACTCATTAACATTTTTATGACACTGTTTGCAATTCAACAGCATTCCTGGACAACCTTAGGATGGATAAGACAAACATTAATGCGTTTGTACAATCAATAGTCAATTTAGCACATTTCTTGAATAGCTTTTAATCACAGTACATACAGTAAAGACCCTGCTACTTTATGTTTGCCCATATTTGGTCCTATCTGAGTCTCAAATGCCCTTTACTTAACCTTTAACCTTTTGTTCAAACTGCATTTTATAAGGAATTTATTGTTGGGAATCAGTAGAGATTTAGTATTATTATATAAACACCAATGAAATACCAGGTGAGCTTTCGCACGACAACTTCATATCTTCACATGTGAAAATAACATGTTATCTTCACATGTGAAAATATCACCGTTGCTATGGCTACATAATAAATCGCGCCTTTCACACCAAAAAACTATTAAAGTGAAATGGTTTGGTAGTTCATTGGTGTTTATATAATAAATAAAACATTACATGGCTGCTTGGAGATACAAAATTTCTCTTCTTGTGTTGAAAAAATATTTGACTCATTCGCTGCGCTCACTCGTGAAATATTTTTCAACACTCGAAGAGAAATTTCGTATCCCTGCGCGGCCATGTAATATCCTCTACATCAGTCATCAAAAATAATTGGATTGACCAAACTGATCGGTCATCAATAGAGGCAAGGCCCAAAGGGCCTTGCCAATTCTTTGCGTGGGTGTCAACAGGGCTCGCACAGTCTTGAAAGGTCCTTGAATTTTAGGGGAAGTCCTTGAATTCCATTTTTCCTTGAAAAGTCCTTAAATTTCTGTGAAAGTCCTTGAAAAGTCCTTGAATTTTCTTCAACTTTGAATGTCGTGGCCTGGAAAGAACTATTTGATGCCAGAATATAAATCATCGCTAAGAGAATTTCAAGGTTATTTACATAAAGTGCTCTATGTTTTATGCAATAAGTAACTCTCAATGAAAACTGTAGACAAGTTGGTAAGGAAACAGTTCAAACCTTTAAGTCTTATTAGAATAGACTGGAAATGTGCATTTTTGTACAATCTTTGAAATTATATTCCTAGTAGGTGGTCCTTGAAAAGTCTTTGAAAAATGGTTGCAATTTTTTGTATGAACCCTGTGTCAAACCCAGTTGCCCTCCTGTTCAAAACCCTTTATGAAACCTGTGCAATAGTTTTCACATTACTAGCTCCAAGATGCTTTCTTTTACATTACAATAAAATTCTGTCTGTTTTTATTCTCAGAATGGTGATGGCTATGTGGATAGTGACAAAAAAATGAAGAAAATCATAAAAGCAATTGAAGATGCTGTTAAAAGCCAGGGATGAGTTTCCACTGGATCTACAGGAGATGTGCACATAGCTGAGGTATATTGTTTGAACTTGAACGCACTGAAGATCTCATTATTGTCCTACTAGAGTCTCAAAGGTAGGGAAAAGGGGAAAATAGACCAAACAAAGATGATATCACAAGTCAAATTTCCACTTTGTCTTTCCCTTTTAAACACCTGCCGTGTACAATAACATGTAGGCTGGTTTTGGGGTTACAGCTGCTCCATATCAGAGAGACAAACATAACAAATTGGCTGCGAACAGTCTCTTATTTTTCTTTTGAGCCACATTAGATTGAGAGCGTGCATGAGGAAGAGAAAATTAGAGACTGCAATGGCGTCTTTGATCTGGTGCTTTGCCTCTTTAATTGACAGCTCCTTCCTTTTTGACAATTGACACTATTTTGTGTGCTTTTTCCTGTGAAAAAACAACTTGTCCATTTTCTGCTGTTTGGTTTGGGAGCATTAGGTATTGCAATGATGGTGTTGTAATGAATCCCAAACACTCCGAAAAAAAGGGGTTCCTCAAAGTAAGCAAGAAGCAAAGCGAAAAAGGCCAAGATGTGTCACAATATTGTAGAATTTGCCATTGATCTCTGGCAGTCATGTATGGGAATTTTGAGGGTGCAAAAAAGAGGTTATATTTTGTTGAGAATATATTTCAGGTTCCACAAAAGCAAAGACTAGTTTTTGAAAACTAGAGTGCAGTTCTCGACCTGTGTTTGTTCACTATGTTCTGCAAATGTTTTAACCACAGTGGAAATTGGGCTCCTTCAAGACTGAGATTTTTTGTTGAAAGATTGACAAGTAGCCAACCAATCGGGAATTTCCGTTACTTTGAAATGGAAATTCAAAATACAATAAAACCTCCACTGTCGTGCCTTCTTCTCTCTCCGCCCCAATCTCTCCTCCTTTTAACCATAAATTTGGATACCTAATTTTACTATTTTGCTTGCCGCACATGGCTCTGAGGAAGAGGGACAACCCCTCGTAATCCAATTGGCCTGTCAGGTTTTAAATACCCGTCCACGTACGTGACAAATCATAGCAAAAAATTAAGGTTTATTAGGTCATGGTTTTCGTGATATTATTTTTCTCATGTGCAAACGATATATTGATTCACTGACAGATTGTTTTTCCTGTTTGTGACTGCAGTGTGAAGCAGCCGTTTGTACCAGGTGGATGATCTTGAATGACAGGAGCAACTTAAAAACTCAGCGTTTGGTTGACTCCTTGATGAACTACAGTGATTTCATCTGGCAACCCTGTGGAAAACCCACTGTGTGCATTGATCCATCATTTTCTTTTATCAATTGGTGTTTTTGCATTAGTTACGTAACGATATTGTTCTAGTGAAGAATCCACGCTACGTTTAAGTATTCTAGATGAGTTTGGTTCACATGTTCTACTAAAACAAATTGTAACCCTTTTAGCTGGGACACGCTTGAGGACGTGTTGTAGGTGCTAGCCCCTGGATGTGCATTGAAATGATGCTCAAATTAAAACGAGCTAAAGTATTGCAAGATAGAACTTTGCTCCCACAGCAGAATTTTTCTTATCAAACAGAAAAATATCAAAGAAGGAAACTTGTCTTATTTTGCGTGCCTGCAACATTGCCCTATGTGTCAGTCATGACAATTTGGTTAAACTCTTCTGATGCCTACCACTGAGATCAAGATTATGAATTCCTATTTTGACCTTAAAATTTTGAGCAGTAAAAGTAAAAATTGTCAGGATCTTGCACCTTTCTGAAGTGTCAGTTTTTATGTGCACCGAGTGTCACCTGTGGTTTTTTTTTTATATCGTGTCGATTGTTGTTTGTATAAAATAGCAGACTTGACTAGCTTTGGTTTTTTGTTCCAACAAACCTGCAATGTGGTCTGTTATGACCCTGACTAGCTTTCTTTGATAGTTACTCTCACTGATCAGACATGTTGAAGAATTTGTACTTCATAAAGTTTTCAACAAAATAGTTACTTCCATCTGTTCTTGTGTTAGCCCGCGAGCAAGCTCTCCTATTTGGGCAAGCGAAGCGAGCCTCGCGAGAACGCGAACTTCGAGCTTCGCCGCTCGCTCGCACGTTCTCGCGAGACTCGCTTCTCTCGCCCAAGTAGGAGAGCTTGCTCGCAGGCTATTCTTGTGTTTGAATTGCCATCTCGCTATTCTTAAACAAATAAACTAAGCTATTCTGCAGAAACGTTCGTAATTTTTTCCTGAACTCAGAGTCAACGGGTGCTGGCAGGGGTATTTTGCAGAACGCCGAATGGTTCTGGAGTTTGGTGATTGGAGTTACGAAACTGAGTGAATGAAGTTTCAGGTTACTTTTCCCAGGATAATGACCCTACATGGAACCTGATTTACTCAGTTTCCTGGTTTCCATATGAACGTCCCGATCGTCCCAGTCGTCTCAAAAAATGTTCAGACGATCGGGACGATCATATGGAAACGCTACCCAGACGATCGCAAACAACCCGGACGACTGAGCCGACCTCGACCGCTTGGATAGAGTCGAGTTCTATCGCGACGATCATGTAAATTTTAAAGCGATCATATGGAAACGCTCTCAGACGATCGGGACGATCGAAGGCTATCCCAGAAGTTATCACTTTTTTTCCAGTTATCGAGAATAAATTCGGCCCGGATGGCGCTGAAGCCGAAAAATAGTATACAAATGTTCGCAGCGCGTATGGGGGTTATTTGAAATTAGAGAAAGTCCGTGACATCAAGTTTTCGAAGAGATGCCATGTCTTTGGGGAACTCTTCTAGCTTCTCAATGCCGCAAAATCAAGAGAAAAAGTAGATACCAAGGTACGAGGTTCGCTTTACAAATAAAAATCATCCATTTATGTAAATTCCATTGTCTGACCCAGAGACATCGCTGACGACCCCGCGTCTCGTGCCTTTGAGGCGATCGAGACGATCATATGGAACCTACCAATCGCCCCAGTAGTCCGGATCGTCTCGAAATATTTTGAAACGACTGGGGCGATCGGGACCGGGGATCGGGAACCCTAATCACTAAATTCGGCGTTCTGCAATTGGCGTTCGGCGAATGCAGAACATCGAGTGACTCAGAAGTGTAGTGATTAAGGTTAGGAAACTGGGTGAATTACGTTTCAGGGCTGTTTTCCCAGTTAGTGACCCTAAATGGAACCTGATTCACTCAGTTTCCTAACCCCAATCACTAAACACAGTCATTAGGCGTTCAGCGGTCTGCAAAGTACCCCTGCCGCGCATCAGGCTCAAGATGACGTGTACTTTAAAGCTAATGATGTACAACAGTTTTTTTGGGCACAACTGACATAAGTACAGCAAAAAATATCTCCTGTCAGGGCCCGAATAGCCTGTTCCAGTCGTTCAGATCGTGGAGACGGAGCGGGGAAAAATAAGTGGGAGAGAGGAGGGACCGCTCTGACTGCCTGGTCCACCCTGTCGCTGCGTTTTCCTGTTGACATATTTTTACCTAGCCTCCCACGCAGGCGTTTTTAGGGGAGCTCGAAAAACGAGCTACCCTAAAAACGCCTGCGTGGGAGG